AATATATGAAGACGATTCACAATTAAAAACAAGAAGCGATCCTGAGTAGATATTTTCAATTTCTCATTATAGTTAAAATCTATATTATAATATCTAAAAGGTATTCACGGTATTGCTTTTTCAAGATAGTAAAAACTTTGTATCTACTATCATTTTCTCGCAGCAAAGTCACGCTCTAGAAATATCCGTTTGCGATTTGTTAAGACCGTACTCGTCGTGACTTTGTTCGCTCAGTAAATGGCGCCTCCTTCCGGGAACCTATTCTACTTTTACGTGAGGTCACTGAATTAAAAAAAAAAAACTTTGTTTTAGAGATAGAATACAGAGAGTTAAAAATATCAATTAACGATCTATTTCAACAAATCAAAATTTAACCTCAAAAAATAACAAATTATTATGCTGGTTAATTTTACTACCCAATTTTCCAAACGTTTTTAAAGGTGGTATGTTACACAATCTTATTTTTAAAAACAAGCTAAAATTAAGATTTTCACTCAACTAAATAATAGCCATTCTTGTGAATTACAAAAATGGGTGAAATTTTACGCCTCCTGGTCGATTGGGCAACCGATTTTATAAATAGCAGTTTTACGTGTTCAATGTCAGAGGTAACGATCTACTTAACCGAATATTATGATGAACTAGCTCCAACATCACAGGGAATATCTATTCCATGCATAACAATGAACTAGATTTATAACAATATTATAGTAAAAAAAGTAAGATTAGAAATAAATCGTATTGGTTAAAATATGAGTAATTTTTAATGTTATTTGTGAATGGTGGCAGGTTTGCTTTAATTTTTAAACTATTTATTTAGTGGTAATAAAAATCATATACTCCTTAATTAACTGTTAGAAACGTATTTTTATTTTTACTGGTATAAAAATGGAAAACGAGCAAACGGCATTTAATTCTCATAAACAATCAAAGCGTTTGCTTCTCATAGATATCACATTTGCACATGTCTGCCTACCTTAAAGGAATAAATGTATGTCCATTTTTTTTTTAAAAGTGTACATTTATAATTTGAATTAATAGTGACCTTATGTATTTTGCAATTAAAAAAAAAATAATGCAATTCGATGGGGTTCCGCTCTTAGAGTTGCAGTTACTATGGCATATTACAGGGTGATTCTTAATTGACAGATCAATTTTTTTTTTTTTATATAATATAAAGTAGCAAACGAGCAAGCGGCCACCTGAATTCACCGAAATGGAAAGCGACCGCTGCCCATAAACATCCAGAATTGTAGATGCGTTGCCTACCTTTCATTGACGGAGGAGAAGACGCACCTAAAGAGGATATTTCCCCTTCCTATGCGTCTCCTCTACCGACAAATCCACTTTTCCTTCCCACCCTCTCCTCTTAAGAAAAGGGTGGAAAGGGAAAGGGACTAAAATTAGGCCTCCGGCACCACACTCATAATACTCAATGGCTTTGTGCAGTTAGAGCACCTCAATAGTTATCGTTTAAGAGCAAAGTATGTTGCCCCATTTTTTATAGTTTTAGAGTTATTGATTTTTTGTTGCGAAAAATCCTCCTTAGACCTCTAACTTTACAAAGCCGTTGATCTGTCCGTTAAGAATCACCCTGCTTATTATATTCCATGTAAAATGTAAACAATTTTTATCTTATGTACTACTAATACATTTTACGCTTTCGCACCTGCGGTTACGTTGAATCGAATTATATTTGAGTACTCTCTATTTGTCCGACTTCACCTTGTGACACAAGCCCCGAGGGTTTAAGCGCAGTCAATAAAAGTTTCCATACAAAGGAAATTCCAACGAAAGATATAAAGTAGTTACGGAATTCTCTCACTTTAACAAAAAATAAGGTAGTCTTTGTAAATTACAAGCTGTGATTGTAGTAATTTTTTTTAGATTTTTAAATAACGGTTATGGAATTATGTTTTTAAATAAAATAGGTTTCTCGTCTATTTATAAAAATTATGTTTTTTGTAACAATGTAATGGTTTTTATTTAGAAGGTTTTCATTAAAAATTAAGGTTAAGGCAGATTATTTATTATAATGATATCAGATTACAAAAACTTTAATGATGTAAAACAGATATGGTTTTCTACTTTGCGGTATATTCTCGTTCATAATTAATTAAATTACAATTATATTTTAAAGTGTCTGTAAAAGTGTTTATAAAATCTATATTTATACTATCTATACTATTATAATAAAGCGTAAACACACACTTCTTTGTTGCCTAAGGTGTCAGCAATTACAGCATACTTTTGAACAATCCCCTTTTAATAAAAAAAACCCTACACTTGCGTCACGCTTTAGGCTATATATTAAACTTAGAGGGTAAATATTTTGGATAAAAATCCTAATGTGAGAAAGAGACCATAAGTTGCTGCCAACATCAAGGAAGCAAGGTTGTCATCATGTCATGTCATTTTGACATTTGTAATTGATAATTTGATAAATAAACAATATAATTAAATTTTCATAATTTCATGCGGATGAAGTCGCACGGAAACAACTAGTCCATTATTAAATTAGACATTCTTAGGTCTGTTTTAAAATATTGAATACTAAATAAATTATTTGCTTCTAAAAGATAGTAAATAGAAATTCGCCCTTTAAAAGTAAACCTAATGACAAAGGATGAAGTTAAACCTTTAAGAGCCGCGTCACAAAGCTTCGGATAAACAGAGCGCAGCGTTTATGGTCCCCGTCTAGCTCAAGTGTGATTAAAGTTCCGGATTTCCGGCTGCGTTTGACATGCAAACATTGTTGGTTACAGCGCTCAACGCTCAACGCTCAGACACACGCGTCTGACTTTCGCTACTCGTATGTTTGTAATGACAATTTAACTTTTCAATTATTTTTTTTATTTATTCTAACTCGTGGACAAACTTCGTGTTTTATTGTAATAGAAAAAAAAGAACTTATAATCAATTGTATATAACATTTTTAATTACCTCTATCTATCATATACTAATATTATTAAAAGGAAATATTTCTATTTTTTGTATTTTTTATGTATTGAATTAACTCAAAAACTTCTGGGCCGACTATAATAATTCGTTCACCGTTACAATGGTAATTTATCTGTAAGTAACATAGCCTATCTTTTTACTATTTATTTAATTAAACACGGATGTAGTCGCGAGCAACAGCTATATTAAAATGTAGAGTAATTAAAAACCTTATTAAAATGAACAAAAGGATCACAATCGACCGATTAATCAATGCATAAATGACTTCAAAAAGAACTAAGTCTAAACGAATATGCGTTGAATCTATACTATCTATACTATTAAAATAAAGCGTAAACACACACTTCTTTGTTGCCTAAGATGTCAGCAACTGCAACATATTTTTGAATAATTTTTTTTTTAATCAAATACCCTACACTTGCGTCACGGTTTAGGCTATATATTTTAACGCTATTAAACTTAGGGGGTAAATATTTTGGATAAAAACCTTAATGTGAGAAAGAGACCATAAGTTGCTGCCAACATCAGGGAAGCAAGGTTGTCATCATGTCATGTCAATTTGATGTTTGCAATTGATAATTTGACAAAGGTAAACAATAAAATAAAATTTTCATAATTTCATGCGGATGAAGTCTCACGGGAACAGCTAGTGTTTGATATATTACATCTTCCAAACATAGATAAAATATTTTTTCCGGAGACAATTTAGTAAAATAGAAATATGATTATCAACTATTTTTTTATTATCTTTATGTCTGTCAAACTCCATTTTAGTGTCGGAATATCCGATTATTCCAAACTTACATGAGTTTCAAACAATCGGAACAGAAATTCGAAGTTCAAGTTGGATATAGACATATTTCCTCTGTCGTTTGCTTAAAGTTGTTTATTCAAGTTATAAGGGTCGAAATTCAAAGCTGACGTTGGCTTAGAATTACTTAAAGTTTCTAAGTATACCTTTATATGGTAAATTTCTAATATTCGTGTTAACTTTATTTTAAAACTTCGATTAGAAACATTTTAGGCTCTTGATTTATTTCAATAGACTTGGAATTCGTTATAATAAGATTCGGCGTCTAAGGTAATTATATTATGACATACAGACTTTGAATGTAAAAAGCATAAGGTAAAAGACCCAAAAGCCGCTAGTGACCCATTAATTGATAGTTTAAAATTTAGTGCCTCAAAATAAGATATTCGATAACTTAATATTATTTATTATAGATAAAAATATACTAAAGTCACAGTAATATTGCGAAAGATGTGTACTATCTTTTTAAACATTACATTAATAACTGCGGAAAACTGAAACGAACTCAACTTATAGTTAGCTCCACTGGCAATCTGACTGATGTCAAAAACTTAATGGAATTTGAAGTTTTAGCGTGGCCTAATAATTTAAGACGCTGTTACATTTATATATCGTTTCAGTAATCATCCGTAATCGTTATGAGTGATTTTATTATTACAAAAAGATTATGGCTTAGTAGCTATAATAAAATATTAAAAAAAGTTATAATGTAATCACCAAAAATTAGATAACACTGTAGTTAAATAACTCAAACCAATACGACTTAGGGTCCTGTAAGAAGCGAGCCTACAATTTGCTTAAAGGCCGGCAACGCATCTGTAGTTCCTCTGGTATTGCGGATGTCCATGGGCGTCGTTGACCACCTCTGTGTTTGCCTCTTCTCATATAAAAAAAGTTAAATGAAAAACAATACGTTATTTTAATTATAAAATTCTATACAATTAAATCATTATCCGGCCCATATATAGAATCGTAAATAAAATCAACGATTAGTTGAACTTGCGGATACATGAGAGTCATAAGCAACACGATACTGTTGGCGATGACGAAGAGTTTCATATTCTCTAATCCATCAGGTGACCTGAAAAAAACAACCAACAATGAGTATTTAAATAAATGAATATAAAACAAAACACTATTTATTGACTAAAAGAACTATAAAAAAGAATACAACTTACAAACATATTAGTTATTGTAATAAAAATAAAAAAAAATCTCGGCCAAAAGGAGAAGGCTGAGCTATTTACATATATCAGTATTATGAGGTAATTAGTCTACAATAAAATGCCTAAATAAAGCTATATTATTTGATATTAAATGTTTATTTTACTTTTGAAACAATCTTTGGTTTGCTATTACTGCATAAAAAAGATAAGCAATCTACACTAATACTATAAAAAGGAAAGATTTGTAATTTTAGATACATTGTAATGACTTAAAAACTACTAGGCCGATTTCAATAATTCTTACACTGTTAAAAACCTATATTATATCTGAGTAACATAGGTTATATCTCTTTCTTTTTTTATATCACGCGAACGAAGCCACGAGCAACAGGTAGTTAGTAATAAAATACAAATTAAGCTGCTTTTTTAGTAACAAAAGCGTGTTATTTAAATAAGTCTTTGCATTAAGGAAATATGAAACGTAGCATGCTAATGCGATTGCTCGCTTGTCAAGGCAGCGTTACGGCATTCGACGCTTAATAAATGCTGTTTACGTTGAGTAAAGCTATTTTATGAAAAAAGCGCAATTAAAATGAAAAATTAAAGTCACTTAAAGAAACATGAAATTAACTTTAACATAGAAATATGTTAAATTGTTTACAAATTATATTTACTTCTCATATGTTATAATTAAAAAGTTAAATATTTTAAATAGATCAACGTTATTGTTAAATTGTTTTAAATTAATATCAAATATCACCGTAAGTAAAAAAAATATAACAAAAAACAATATTCCCTTAGATTACCTAAGCCAACCACCAAATCCTTGATCTTCTTCATCGAGAGAGTCTAACCTTGCCACTTCCTTCTCTGTTCCTTTAGCATTTGCATTTTCGTCATTTTGTGATTTTTTACATCTTTGCCTAGTTTCGTTCTTGTTTCTAGTCATGATCTATAACAAAAAAAATATAGCATAAACTTAACGTAGAATTTTCTGTCTCACTTTTCCTACGTATTTTGTAACGAGTATATTTTTTATCATATCAATAATTATTACAAAGTTAACAAATATTCAAAAATTATCACAATTAACTTTAGTGGTTTACTACTAACTATTATGTAGTGCTACAAGAAAAAATACGTCAGTAGAATAATGTTAAAAATAGTTGTTATACTAATTTACTCACTTGATTAATAATAAATCACTTCAAATATCGTTATAAAAGAACAGTACAAAATTCTATCACAACACGTCTGTCCTTTAACGGCTAACGATTCTACTAACCGTGCATAACAAGAAACCTTTAAAATGCAAATCAATAACTAGACTTACAATTTTCCAGGGCCACTACTTATCTAATTATAGCTGGCTTGCTGAAATATATTTCATCATTACAAAGTTTTTTATAAATATTAGGTTGACCTAAATTTCAAGGGAGTAAAACAGAAAGTACGTAGTTCAGAAACCCATTTCAAGACGTTATCGAACCTAAAACACTAACGAATGGCTAAATGTACCCAGGAAACTGGCTATAAGACCTTTTATGATCAACGTAATAATGTTAAGTTTATTCATAACTAGCTGTTGCTCGCGATTGCGCCCGCGTTAAGTTAAAAAACAATAAAAAATAATAGTCCGGGTGTATTTCGTAAAAGATTTAGAAATAAAACTATTTTAACGGAGACGTTATGTAATGACAAAATATGTACAGAAACAGACTATCAAAAAGTGATGACGTCAACAATGTGTTCTAATTTTGAATAATTCAATTTCTTCTTCTTTTCTAATGGCTTGACTCTAAAAACGTGTAAAAACTCCTTGAACACCGGGTTTATCACATATAAACTACCTTTCTAAGGATGAAAGAATTTTTGAAATCGGCTCAGTAGTTTTTACGTGAATCGAATACATACAAAAATCCAAAAATACAAATCTTTCTGCTTTATAATATTAATATAGATTAATAATATGCACGTAAAATGTACAAACGTATTAAGATTTCGTTTTTAGCATCGCTGTTGGATACAAAGTTAAAATGTTGTCGAAAAGGCAATAGTTTTCCAATGTGCGAATTAAAACGTTATTCGGAAAGTAAAATAACTTTTCCTTTTCAGTTCATGCTCTAACCTCGTCTAAAACATTTTAAAAGAACTTTAAAAGTCGAAGTATCAACGTCAAAGTGGGCAGATTTAACTGCATCAAGCTTATGCCTTTGCGAAGAAGAATTTGTAATTTCCGTACCAGGGATGCAAACGTGAAGTTTAATTGGTTGTGAATGCCATTAATTTCTTAAACTTTTAAGCTTATAATCTGACTAGCTTTGCCCGCGACTCCGTCTGCGTGGAATTAATAAAACGAAAATAAGTAGTCTTGTTCTTCTAGACTATCTTCTACATCTATACCAAATTTCATCGAAATCCATTCGGTTTACGCTACAAACTCTAACAAACATTCATCCATCCATTTAAACTTTCACATTTGTAATATTAGTATGTAAAGCATGAATTTATATCCTGTTTTTTTTTTAGTAAAGTAACGCTAACACTTATAATGATATGTAGAACATCGGCTAGATATCGCAAAGTAGACAAAGCGGTCTTCTTGAATTAGGTAGAGAAGTGGACAAACTGCGAAAGCACATTTTCTATTTATCCTCTTCTCTGTTAAGCCCATCGACCCTTTCTTACGTAAAAATGATATAAAGCGAAGAAGATTCCATTAAAAAAAAATTAAACGTCCAAAGCTTTACGAAATGCTTCTTTGACGGAAATAAGTTTGGCAATCACAAAGAGCACGTATGATGCTGAGTGAATCGACACGATTATCGTTCAACTGTGACACGGAAACGGGTCATTCGTTCCGTGGACGTTATTCATTCGTTCCGTGGACGTTATCTGACGTGCACGCTTCCCACCCGCGTGCAGATTTGCGACATGCAGGATCATTTACATTCAGCAAATTTATTTCTGTCGTTTAAGAGAATTGCACGTCTTATTTCTAGGATTGTCTTGAGTGGGTTATTTAGTTACAACATTTGCTATGCAACCCAACTTACTTATGTATTTAAAGCGAAAGTTTTATTAGGGTTTTTGATATTGCTTATCAAGACTATTAATAACACTAAAGATTAAACGTTAATAGAATCGACACTCGTATGAGTGAGTATGAGAAAAAAATTGGATATTTGTATGTATTGAAATAACTCAAAATCCTTTTGAGTGTTTTCCGTGAAAGGTGACATGATCAAAAAGGGAGTGATGACTGGGATGACGTATAATAAAGTTACGTGGTGAACAAAAAACCGTTGCGCCGACGCTACGGGAGTAGGATAAGAAGGAAGATGATGATGATGATTGAAATAACTCCAAAACTACTGGGCCGATTTAAAAAATTCTTCCACCATTAAAAAGCTACGTTTTCACTGAGTAACAGAGTATTTTTTTTAATCACACGATTACGAAGTCGCGAGCAATAGCTAGAATATTAAGCCTCAACCAGAATCAAACAAGGAGTATTTTTGTAGTCTTGTTTACAAAATTCTACAGTTATCAGTGAATTATAACTTCATGTATGTGACTGTTGAATAGTTGATGTGAAATATTATCCTCTTGCGAAACTACGATCATAATTCATGCGTCATTGTTTCTATCGCGACAGTTATGAAGGATTACTTTTACATGCGATGTTGATCTCGTATCTAGACACGAATAGTGTATTCTCTGATTATTGATTAATGAAAAAGAGACTACGAGTTGATGCAAATAAAATCGAAATAAAGTGCTGCTTCTTTGCGATAAAACCATTTTAGTACTTCTGTTTCTTATTATGATTTATTAAAATACTAGCTTACGCCCGCGACTCCGTCCGCGTGGTAATAAAAAAACAAAACCAAGTAGCATATGTGTTCTTCCAGACTATCCTCTACATTTATGTCAAATTTCATTGAGATCAGTTTAGCAGTTTAGGCTACAAACTCTAGAAAACATCCATCCATCCATCTAAACTTTCTCATTTATAATATTATAAGTATGATGCGATTAAACCATTTTAGTCCTTCTGTTTCTTCTTTTGATTTATTAAGATATGTGTTGGATGTGTTTGCTTTTGTTATAAAACGGTCAACGATAAAATTAGGTACAAATGATAGAATGGCGCTCGAGACTTGTGGGTACAAAGGTAGAGGAAAACAGAAGAAAGTATAGATGGATTGTATGATATGCGTAAGACAGGTGCTAATTAGATATAGCAGCCGATGTTAGGCCAATGTATAGAAGACTAGGATATACAAAAGAAAAAAGGACAGGTTAAGATCCCGCGCAAAAGATTTAGCAAGACAAAAACCTTGAACATAAAAGACGACTTTTTTATATTGATGTTGTACCTTTTATATTGGAAGTTTATTTCAGAATATTAATGGAAGAAAACAAAGTACGTGATGTTAAAAACAAAAAGAAAAAAATATAAAAACTCTATCGAAGAATTCTTGTTTTTGTAATGTTTTTCAATCTTTATACGAACATCGAATTAGGTAAAGTTCTTTTACAGTATTTATTACATACCACGTACTCAAATGGAATTCAATTTTCTACGTAGAAGATAATAGATAATAGAAATAACAATTTCACTTTGTTTCTGTGGAAAATTTCCTCCACGCGGTCTAAAATAGTTTGAACATTTCAGAACTTGTTGAGAAATAAAAATGTAATATTACTTATTAAATAAACTGCAAGAAAATAAATTGAGGTTTTCATTTGTATTTAAGATATTAGTGGAATAAAAGTTATTACAAGTTGTAAGCTTAATGTTTATAATGGCCTTTGTCCGCGACTCTCTTCGCGCGGATATAAAAAGTAAGTATCCTATGTGTTCTTCCAGACTATCCTACTAATATTATAAATGCGAAAGTTTAGATGGATGGATGTTTGTTAGAGTTTGTAGCCTAAACGACTGAATGGATTTCGATTAAATTTGACATAGACGTAGTGCGTAGTCTGGAAGAACATGTAGGCTACTCATTTATGTTTTTTAAACTGCACGCAGACGGAGTCGCGGGCGAAAGCTAGTGTTCTACATCTGTACCAAATTTCATCAATATCCGTTCAGCCATTTAGGATATAACTTCTAGCAATCATCACGCCATGCATCTAAAATTTCGCTTTTTTAATATTAGTAAAAAAAATTCAGGAATAGGCATTTACATTCAATACTTATATTCATAGTTATTCCGTCAAAATTAAACCTAGCAATATAAATCAACTCTTAATAATACTACAAGAAGACTATGTTTACAACCATAAATGTCTTTAAAGCATCAAAAATTACCGCAAAAGCAAGCCTTGACAAGAAAATTTATAGTACACGATCACTGTTACTGAATGATAAATCATCTTTTCAGATATTTGGCCCCGAATTACCCTCATGAATAACGTTTATGAGACCGAAGTATGAGATTCAAAAATGAAGTAAAGCATTGCCAGACTCACGGAAAAAATGTCCGCTGCTAAAAAGAGTATCCAGTGAAAAATGCCCTAAGTTTCATTTGTTATTCTTACAGTTCTTTTAAATTTTGAATACAGATAAGTTCTGTCAATAAATATTATTTAATGAGTATTTAGGAGCGTCGGTGACTTAGTGGTTTAAGTACTTGACTTGTAATCTACGGGTCTTTTGTTCGAATCCGGCTATGCACCAATGTGATATTCGATTTTCGAATTTCATATGTACATAATTTACCCGACATTTTTACGGTGTAGGAAAACGTCGTGATGCAACCTGCACAAGTCGGCGAAGGAATTCAAAGACATGTGTGAAGTTAACCAACCCGCACTAGGGCTGTGTGGTTGACTATGGCTTATTAGGGTAGGCTCCGAGCCTATCGATGGCGACGTATAGTATGCTGATGATGGTAAATGAGATGGTGAATTTTATTTACTTTATGTTAATTACATTAAACTAGAATTTTGTGAAAAACGGACTATTCGAATACAGCGCCTAATCGCCGCGCTTCAAGGGCAAATCTACCCAAGAATTCATTACACTTTATTTACGTCCTTTGTCCCATTTTATTCTATTATACCCAACATTCGCTGCCTTAGGTACTTACATACTATTGTGTATTGACCAGCGTGCCGTATTCGACAGATTTTTCCTCCACCACATGCGCAGGTTCCGTGTAAATATAAACGCCGAAAATATGACCTTATAAAATATTATAATAAAAATGGAATTGACAAATGTAGTCCAAGTGAAAATACTATAAGTTTTAGAAAAGAAACATTGAATTTTTAGTCCCCAATTAGTCCCCAGCCCTAGCCCTATTCTGAAATATTTACTTTATGTGCTATTAA